CTACGACTGCGACTACGACTACTACGACTACGACTACGACTGCTACTACGACTACGACTGCGACTGCTACTACGACCACGACTGCTGCTGACTACTACTACTACTACTACTACTACTACTACTACTGCTGCTACTGCTACTGCTACTACTATTACTACTACTACTACTACTACTACTACTACTACTACCACCACTACAGGCTGAGAACAGGGTTTGCTAGTCGTGGCAGTACGATAATCTCCTCTTTACACCTCCTCACAAAGCCCGAGCGCCAGGCTAGTGCCACAAGTTGCGTGATGCAGTCTTTCCGAAATCAAAACCAGACCAGACGAACCAAATAGGTGCTGTCGAAGACACTTCGCGACCAATACATTTAGATCTGCACCGAGAAAAATATTGAATCATGATTGAAAAACCTGTAAGTTCCCAACAAGAAGAAGTAGTTAGGCTGTAAGCTTCAGTCGGATCCTGGAGGATCTCCAAGCGCTCCTGGGCGGTGAGGCACGTTTGCGGTTCGTAGACGCTTCAACATGCGAGGTTTACAACTCAAAGCGGTTAGTCTGGAGTTGAGGTTTCCGGGTTTTGAAACCGGCCTGGCGCCGGCATCCGCTAACGGACGATGGACTTTACTGTTAAAACTTCTACACTGAATCCCAAACCGCGCAGTCCAGGCTGTAGCTTGGATCCCACTGTTGCCGCCATCGCCCCGCAAACATTGTGTGGTGTCCAGCGGGACCACGTCAGGCTTCGTCAGCGGACGGCCCATAGATGCACAGTTGCTTCTTAAGCTTCAACATTGTGCCTTAATTCTTGGTTCGAAAGGGGGAGGGGATCCTAACCGTGAAACCGGGGTCCTCCAGAACATCCGCCTTGGGCGACTGATCCACTGCCAGCTGAAAAAGCTGCTGAAACCTCGGCAGCATGCGAAATATGTTTAATACTCGAAACAGAAAGCCTTGCACAAAAGCTCTTGCTTTCAGGGTCAAGCCTGGAGTGTCTGAAGCCTGGTCTTGAAGCCTCCAGAACTGCCAATCCTAAACCGTCAACGCCTAAACCCCAGTCGCGCAGTACCACTTTTTGACTCATGGGGTGCTGAGGCCCACGACCACTGCAGGCTGTACTGGTACATGGGGTCGATGTTCGCGAGCTCGACCTATGAGTCAGATCCTACAGCTCAGCCAACAAGGTCCTTGTCTTGAGGGCGGTTAGACTCAAAAGCATCGGATCCTACTTTGGCGGATCCCATCAGCTAAGCGACAATTCTTCTTGGGTACAAACTCGACAGTCTTCATTTAGCTTGAGTTCGGTAATGACGTTCATTACGATGCATCATCGTGCTTTCTTTCTGATGCCGATTGTTCGAGCGCTAGGTGCTCTTACCTGCACGGCAGAAGCATGCATGGACAACAGCAGGAAGATGCAACAGAAACTACTACCTCCTCACGGCCTCGAGTGCTGGCCTACGCCGAATGAAGGCATTGAAGAAATCAAAGAAGAATGACATTTCTTGCTTACTACCCCTCCCCTTCCTCGCTAACCCCTCCGCTGAAACCCCAAACTCTATAGACCCTAGAACCTACGCCAATCCCTAACACCCCCCCAATTGCGTATTCTTACTTTGCAACAAAGTGTCGATGCCGAAGAACAGCACCGCAGTTCGGTATGCGACTGGACGGTATGACCTTGGCCGCCGGTGAGGCACATCGGATGCACACCCTTTATCCGATGGTTGTGCCAGGGTTCGCAACATGAGGGCCTGTTCTATCAAACACATGCCGCTGGAAAGTCAACAGACGTTCCGATGAAGCAACAATTATCGTGTGCAAAACTTCGAAATGCGCGCGTATAGGAACCTGCCTCTGTGTGAGTATCATTCTTTATGCTCCTTAGCTTTGACGGATCCGTACAAGAACAAGAAAAACTGCGAAAAGCATGGGGCAGGAGTGCGGCGAATCTCGACTACATATGCTCTCATGCAAACCATCTCGCAAATACTCCAAGCTTTTGTCAGCAGGTTATGCTCTTTACCTGTACCTCGGGAAGACATGCGATGAAGCAACATCTGCTTCGACTAGTCTAGGAAAGTGCAGCGCCGCGTGCCTTTGCACGGCCAACAGAAAGCATCGCTTTCGTAAGCAGGGCACCTCTCTCTGCAAGGCAACGCCGACCCAAGACTCACGATATACTGCACTACATCATCATAAAGACAAACACTCAATAGTCAAGTACTTATAATTATCGGTGTACATAAGTATAGTATTGTAATAATGGCATTCAGCGAAGGCTGGAAGCATTCGGGCTGTCTCACTTCGCCATGACCACCTCCGGCCCTCCGATTAGGATGGCCAAGGAGGCTTTCCTTCTCTCTTCCGACAACTGCAAGGCAAGGTCGAGCTCCCAAGCGGACTGCAAGAGAGCCTCCAATGCGTTCAGGTCCATGGGCTTGCTTTCTTCACCCTCAACCGAGAGCGAATCTCCCTCGTCCACCCAGAAGTTGCGAAAGTCCTTGGCTGCATCGCTGCCGGAAGCTTTGTCAGACTCGAGACTTCTCCGCCGCTGAGCCTGTGTCTCGGAGCGGTAGCAGTCAATCGTGGCCTGTACCAAGGTTGTTGCCGCCTGCTCGGCTTGGGCAAACTGCGGGCTCTGAGGCATGCGCATGGCAGGGCCCATCTTGAATTTGACCATGGTCAACATGTGCGTCATGGCATCGAGATCGGTCGCGCTGGAGCCTGCCGTACGCCGGCCCTTTACGCGCTCCAGCAAAAAGCGCTTGATGGCATCGATCTGGTCTTTCTCCTTCTCCCAGAACATATACCTTATGTTCAAACGCAACAGCAAAACTGCATGCTCCCAAGTTTCAATGGACCCACATGTGCTGCATCGGTCATATGCTTAAACCTACCGATTGTTCAGACCAAGTTTGTTCGAAGCATTAGCACCGAAAGTCTGCAGCACATCCCCCGAAAATCTTACTTCAAGCCCACACCTGAAGCGGACCGGGTGCTGCAGCAGCATGAGATCCGACTCCGACCTTCGTTGTGCTGGACTTCGGTAGTTAGGTAGTTCGCGCTCTTAGTTCGGACGTATCATCTTGGGTTGCAGGGTTTGGGATCCATGTCCGTTGCTCTCTAAGGGTTCAGGATGCACTTGAACTCGGACTCCCTGAATCCTATGGGACTCTAAACCTACGCCTGGGACCACGGGCTTCCGAGGGGCACAGTCGTAGCACCGGCAGTGCAGGCTGCCAGACGGATGAGCAGAGCGGCCTTTGCCAGCCTGCGATCCGAGATCACGCAGTCGTTCTCGGCCATGAAATCCCGAAGGTCGATCATAATCCTTACTTTGTGGGTTTAGGAATCAGGGCTTGCGGCGGCTTGCGACCTGGGCATCAGGCTTTGAGGGGTTTGGGCTGTGCCGAGGAACTCGCCACATCAGATCGTGAGGAAGTTTTGGGCGTATCTTAAACTAGACTGATACCGAGAGAATAAGAAGGAAAACCATATCTCTTATCTTCATTGACAGATGGGCTACTCAGATGATCACTCTTCAGTTCCTCATTGCAGTACACTCTTGTTGACGTGTCGGGGTATCTGTACACGAATCCTAGATTTTGAAAAACAGTAAATCAGCCGGGAAGCTCCTGCAAGTCATCCGGAAAAGTAACTTTACTGGCCAGTCTTTGGGCGATTTTGATATGCTCCTCCGTGAGGATTGCTTCCTCGCTGTCGGTGTCGAGGTCAAAAGGCTCGTCGGGCCTAGGCTGACATCGTGTGCGATTTGCTGGTGAAGGCTTCCTGGCTGCAAACAAAGCATAGGAGATCCATGTTTCAGCAAAACATCGAACTGTTCGGGGTCTTTCTTTGCCCAAGTGGCACTGAAGGACGTGCCAGTAAGTCCTGGAGGAAGGCAGCTGCTGCTCCACGCGTCATAGGAGAGACCAGGTGTCTCCTGGGTGGATTTCTGGAGGTCTGCAGGCATCGTGGGAAGTATAGAAAGACTAACATACGAAATCCTTAGTCAATTCCCTGCCAAGCATGAGAGGCTCAGGAGGAAGCGGTCGTGCAGAGCTGCCAGCTCATCTCCCTCGAACAGCTCATTGGAGGCCGCAACAACACCTAGGTCTCCACAGTTCAGAAGTACTGGTATCTTGGTACAGGACCAAGACCCCGCTTAGTAACTTAGCACATGAGCGAAGACCAGAAGGACTGCTCAAGGATCAGGCACACTTCAGTGGCACCTCGATTCGCGTGTCACCATTGTCGAAAACCCGCTCATTCAACAAAGTCAGCAGGCAGTTCAAGATCGCAGAGTTCGCCTTGAACACCTGACAACGACACAATAAGGACCACAATGCTTCCGTGACAATCGCGATAGCCCCCCACAAAACAATGCAGCATCGTGGAACGTGCAATCGTAATGTTCAAAATAGCAGGAGGAGGAGCTTGAGACAAAAACAACTTGCTGCAACGACACTATTTTTGTAGATGCGACACATGGCAACAAATCAAGAGCGGCCTCGTCGAGAAAGGCCACATCCGCATCGGGCAGAAAGCCATCCACGTTGCGCTTCAGCTTGTCATTCTCCAAGGCTTTCAAGGACAACGGTCCAAAGACTTCCTCAGGTACCTTAGCTGCGCTCGTAGCAAAGTTCTAGCCATTTTGCTTTACTGTTGAAAGTCTTGTCTCACAGCTATGCGTAATGCAGCATAGACTCGATTATGCAGTCAAAGTTGTTCTTTTAGCGGGGTTTACGAGTCTGGCTATCCGTACAAATCTCGAGCATCAACAGCAAACCAATCAATGTAATCGCAACGTCCACTGAAGCCGAGTTTAGAACCGTAGTTGGAGAAATGGCATCCATTCGTTTTGCAGGAAAGAACTTAAGACTGATGATCTTCGTAACATCAAAAAACAGTACCCCGCAGTAGAAACACTTGCAACTGGCATCGGTACTCAAGGAAACGACCGTCGAGGGTAACCCAAACCCTCTCGCTAGGAATATCGAACCACTCGTCCACGAAAGATGCGGCGGGGCCTAGTCAGTGGTTGGGAAATTCTTGTTCCAACAAAGACGGCGGGCGGAGAAGCGTGTCAAGAGACGCTCAAAGTACTGGCCACCACAAACGCGAGCCATGCGCCGAGCCAGAAGGCTCTTCGCGGTGCCCGGAGGACCCAGGAAAAGGACGTTCCTGGATTGAGTCAGGAAGGCATCCTCTTCAGAAATAGGCACCCGGTACCAGTAGCTTCTTCTCATACACGTGTAGTGCGCCCTATATACTTGGTTTCGTTTGCCCAGTCTTAATCCAGAAGCGAGAACATCAGAAGTAATCAGAAGAGGCTCTCACTGCCAAGAAAAGCCAGCAAAAGGAGTCTTGCCTCTACAGCGCGCTCCTGCAAGCCTTCGGTGAGGCAATGCTTTGCCTTTTGCATGCGAAGCTGCAGGTCGCGAAGCTCATCTTCCCCGCCTTCCCCTGAAGATGCATCGTCTTCCTGCCCAGCCTCCGACTTCAGCTCTGAGATTTTGCCCTGCACTCGCTCTTCAATGTCACTTACCAGAGATGTCGCCTCTTGCAGACTTACCTCTAATTCGCAGACCTTGGCCGACTCAAGCTTCCAGTCCTTGAACGTCAGATGGCTGATCTGCTTCCCCGCAGATGCCTCAACCCGTTTCACTGGTTGATCCTGTGGAGCTCCTGTACATGGAATCTCGAAGGTATAAGTGCTTTGCTTCGAAGTTGTGCACAAGAGCCTCTGGCCCTGACCATCGACACTGCACTCCACGGCCACAATTTGAGCTTCCTCATCCAAAGCAGCCTTTGCTTTCGCCTTCCCGAGCTTCCCAGATAAGAACTCCTGAATGCGCACTTCCCCTGTCTGTACTCCGTGAAGTGCGATGCGAGCTGATTGTCTGGACTTTGAAGTGTGCAGCCTTCGTGTCTGTGAGGCCAAGCCGACAGTGAGAATAAGTGTCGAGGGTGCCGAAGAAAGCACCCTGCCGACCTTGTACATCTTCGTGTGAGCAGAAAACATCAAGATAGGACCATGTGCACGTAACGATACTGCAGTCGGCACAGCTTGAAGCATAGCGCTCGACCCCGTATATCAAGCAATTTGCGCTACACCGCCTGAGAGCGCAGCTGCGGGTCAGGTCAGTCTTGTGAGTTTGGCTCCAGGCGAGGCTTTCGGAGAGAGGCTCAGACATGCTCAGAGCTTTAGGGATGTCGACCTATGTTCACCCGCTTCTCTAGGTCGCGCTGGTTGGAGATCCTCGGCGCAGTCCTTGGGAGCTTATGCCGAAGACCTTCGCAGATCGTATCGTGGCCCGTCACACTATCTCTGTTCGTACGACAGCACTCGGATTGTATTGCTTTTAGTCGCTGCTTTGCCCCCCTCATTGCCTGATTCATTTCAACCGCAGATCAGAAGCAAAAGCCATACTCTGCCCTGAATGGCAAGCAGTGTATCTTATACTATGTTACAATTTTGTACTATAACTGCAAAACGGATCCCTACATATTCTCCACGCACGGCCCTGCTCTGGCGCATGAGGGATGTTGCTTCCTATACAAACCACACACGAAAGTTCGATGTCGACATAAACATCAAGACTCAGAATGTCGTACTTTGCTGGTATAGCAGTTTGCAGCATTCGATGGAAGCTTGAGCTGCGTGCTCACGGGCATTGTCGATGTCCACCTCGGTGACCTTTGCGACCTTTCAAAGCTCTTTCAGCATCGGGAAGCTGTGCCGAAAGACTTAGGTTTTGGAGTACACGCACCATGAGGACCCCAAGAGATGGATGGATCAAGAGCTGCCATGATTCCGGGATCCCAGAAAGTAACTTGAAGGCGCATACAAACGCTGGGCTTGTAGGAGTTGGTTCGGGTGCTCAGATGGTTCGGCGCTTCGCCTCGGCGCCTCGGCGCCTCGGCGCCTCGGCTCTTTGATTAGCTTCGAGTGACTCCGACCTGGAATCGAAGCGCAGCACTCTGCTCGGTGCTGCGACTGCTCGCAATGCCACCACAACAATTCCGATGATTCCTGCTCAGGATACTAGCGCTAGCGACAGCAACGAGCACGATAATGTTGATCTGTGCCGGTATTGCTTTGAAGGCTTCGCAGCCAGCTTGTTGGCCTTGGCTTGAAGCATGGCCCTGAAACCCATCCTGAACATGCGGGACTTTTTCACTCCCATGCTGAAAGAATATAGCGGACTCCAACGAACTAGGGATGCCGCGGGATGCCTTTCTGTTTTCGTGCTTACCTCCAAGGGAACCCCAGCTTAAAGCGGGAAAACCTTTGAAGCCTTCGCCCTCAACATGAAACCGCCAATCTCAACGCACTGAACCCAGTTCCAAGATGTTCCAAGCTTGAACACCACGAAATTCATCCAAAAACCTACAGGAAACTACCAGACTCTGCTTCGGCCTCCTGCTTCTCTCCGATCTCGAGAGACACTTGCTTAGAGGCCGTCACTTTGTCGACCTTAGTGGCCAAGCGCTCTTCCAAAAGACAGCTTTGGTCGTCTCTGCCGGTCGGTAGAGTACAGGGCTTCGGGGTTCAGGTCGGCCTTAGACCTGAAGGTCGAAACTGTGGACGCCAGCAGTGCCTGGCGGGTTCTACATTTCGGATGCCGCATCCTCAACTACGCTACTAGACCCAGCCGGGCCATGACAAACTTCAGTCTAGAGGCATTTCCAAAGCTCAATCCAAGGCCAACCGTGAATCATTACCCTGCCCTCTTAAGCCCCCCTGCATGAACATCATTCTAGGCTGCTACTAAGTACAGATTACAGCGTCGAAGTCTCCAAACACAAAAAGAACGCGCGACTGGGCTCCTGTCACAACGAGGAGGCATGTTGTTGCATCAGGGGTCTTCTGACTGAATACCATGCCTTTTTTGCAGCGCATCGGCATTGATTTGCGTGCTCAGAGGAGCGATCTCATCCCTGAAAAGCCTGGGAGCCTTGCAGAAAACTACGACTCGCTGAGCTTGCAGACAGATTCTCCTAAATACCCCAAGCCAGCGCAAAAATTCAATTTAAGGTCAACGCCGCATGTAACAATGGAGCGCTTTGCCCATTCCTCCTGGCATTCCAGGCTGGGGAGCGCGCCAAGGTGTCGTCGTCCAGCACGTCGCCCTCGCTGGCAGAAAGGAGATGGAGGATCTCATCCTGGCACAGGTCTGCGGACGCAGGTGCCCGCAAACTTGTAGAGAAATCATACCTCAAATAGCCCGTTCTTGCTACGAATACTGTGGTTTTGCATGGGTTCCGCCTGCCAGCTTCCCTTTGCGGCACACTCTTGTTGAGAAACGTCCCGAGATCCATACGACAAGTAAGTACGTGACAGTCCGAGCTTGGCGCCGGGGCTTAAGTGTGAGTTCTCGATGTCGAGCGATACTATGCTGCGTTGTTTGATCAGTGTTGTCTCGGTGCAACACTGTGAGGATGCGTGCAGCTGCTTGCTGTTGATGTGAATGACGATGAAGATGATGAAGAAACTGCTGCTGCTGATGATGGTGATGATGAAATTGACGATGCACGATACTCAAGGTGCTGAGTTGTATTCCGTGTAAACGTATCACTTTATCGCTGCGGCGCTGCGCTGCACATCACATCTATATATACGTGTATATATATATATATATACACACAGATCTACACAGTTTTTGTGCCGCATCACAAAATAGATGTTATTGCGTATGCTCATGTCAGAAATACGTGGTAATTAACCGAGTCATGTGACTGCCTGATAAGAGCTGTTCCTCGTAGGTCTTGACCTAGCCTAGCAGGACCGTGCTGGCAATTCTGGGTCATGCCCGTTCTCCCTGCTCTTCCGACTACTGCTGCTGCTGCTGCTGGCAGCACCACCAGCGCCACGACGACGGCTCCGACTATGGCTTTTGCTCTCGACCGCTGCTGCTACTCGACTTCCGCAATATAAACGGGATAGCGACAATAATCCGAAACCCGACACCCAAGCCAAACAGGTGGTTGTGGAGATTGGCAGCATGTTCCAAGGGTTGTAAGACTGGAGCTTTGCTTTGCCCTCTAACGTCCAGGGCCCTTGTCGCCTCCAAGTGGTTCTTACTGATTCGTACTCTGCAAGTCTCTGCAGCCTGAAAGATGCTCACACAGAGTCACAGAGCTGTCAAAGGACCTCTGGCACCACTCGAAAGGACTCCACATGCCAGGCTTTGATGCTTCAGGGTTTTGGACTTTGGCTTCGATAAATGCTTGCCGAAAACTGTATAACTGAATATCGCCCTCAGATTGCCTCAATCTCTTTCAACTGCTTATTCATCTTCGCATTGTCTTTGACCTTGGGGCAGCTCTCAGGTTTCCGACAGACCCTTTGCTATGACTTCAGTTTCGGATAGTGCCGGCTGGTTATCATGACACTGACCGTGAGACTGAGAGTGAAAGCTGGATGTCCGTTGCTGCGGATCAAGCTCAATCGGTGCCTACGCTTTGTGAATTGCTTGTGAGCTGGGGCCTCAGGGTATGCTGAGGGCCTTCAGACAAGGTATTTTTCTGGACGACCTGGGGCCTCGAACACTGTGCGCTGGGAAGTGTGAAGTGTGAAATCTGGCAGCCCAGCACTGAGGGATCTGCGAGTTGGCTTTTCTGCTCCTCGAGATCAGGTCGCTCCTTCGCGACCACGATGCCCAACATCTGGTCCTTTCGCAGCCAGCAGGCGCATGTAGTCTGCATGAAGGTGTCTCGAGTTTTCTGCACGGTCGGGTCGAGGGCTTAAGGGGGAGCAGCTAGCTTGAGGGAATTTTCTGTAAGTAGGCCTCGACAACTTCAGACGAAGTCTTCGAGGCCACCGGGTGGAGCAGCTAGCGATACCATGCATTAGGCCTTGCGGCAGCAAACATTGCTTCCAGGCTGCCAAAATAGGAGGATCTGATGACTCTGATCAACGAAGCCCTTTCGGCGTCCACTGTATCAACTAGCTGCAGACCTCCAAGCCAGTTGGCGTGATGGCGAAGTTGAGCAGCGTGACCTCTGGCGGAAGTAACTAAGTATGCCCTGAAGGACAATTTAACGTTCTCAACTAGAGTGGGCACATGTCAATATGTAAATGGACGCAAACACTCCGGGCATTCGTGCACCTGCACGCGCACAAGCACAACCGCAATTGAAAACGACGATCCTCAGAAGCCCTGAACAAAGTTCTGCCTCAGTAAATTCGGAAACGAATCCCCTTCACCAGCCTTGACGGAAGTCTCCGGTGAGTAGTGTGGGTTGGGCCTCGAGTTGCACCGAAACCACCGTGTATACTTAGATAGCTCTTCTGACCATCCTTGCTTCTACATCAGAGCTTTGAGGAATTTGCTGACGCAGATGAGCTCGAAAGCATCGTTGGATTGCTCTGTGCTGGCGGCGCGGTTCCCAGACAGATTGTGTGCAGGTGTCTCGCGGACAGACGCCATGGCCCGATGCCCGAGTAACAATCGCAGCAGACCTGTACGGCACGATATTGGTAGACGACCTAAACTTAACCAATGGAACGATGCCGGAAGATGAAGCTTAGAGTTGCAGGATTACGGCAAAATATCCAGAATTCTTACTGACTCTCGTATAGTGATAGTATAGTGGTATCCGACCAGACTTTGCCCACCCTTTCGAGCTGGATTCGACCTCCGTAGGTCTCCAAAAGGACAACAACTCAGTAGCTAAGATAAAAAGATGCACCGTGCTGAACCCGCAGTTTCATGTGAGAAACCCCTAACCGTGCACGCTAATCATGAACCCTCAACCGGAAGTGTACCATCAACGAATGCACACAACGTTGTCCCGAAACGGATCAAGTTGAGCCGTAGCGGAATGCCGCTTGAGGCCAGTGGCAAGGTCGTTGTCATGAAAAACTTGAAGGTGTCGGCATAGGTGATGGACCTGGTTCATGCAGCCGCGAATATATTGAGGGCTTGTGGAGTTGGCGCTAAAATGTGATAGGCATGCAGAGTTTCGTGACGAATTTCCTACCGGATAGTACTCTGAGACCAGTACGAATAGCAATCGCATGTAGAGTAGTACCGGTATAAATTTTGATAGGATTCAACACTGTGCTCATGCTCCTCTCTGCACACGATTGCTGAGAAAGCAACGCATGAGCCCTACCGTGAAGGAGATTTCAATGACAATAACGTGCAGGCCTGCAACGTCGGGTTAGGTATTCTATCGCTTGCTTCCAGGCCTAGAGGGCCCGACACATTGGATTTTGAAATCATCAGCAACACCAAAAGTCTCATGAGTTCGACGGTGACGATGAGTCACAACTTCTGGGACTCCACACTTATCGCCCAGCTTGATGGTGAAGCCAGACCCGTCTCGCACCTGTCGGCTCATGGCGCTTCTCAGAACCCTTGCAGGCTTGAGCACTGCCGTGTGAAACCCCTGGCTCGACAATCTCAGGCTTGCTCTGCTGCCGATCCCAAAGCTTTATCTACCAGCCAGACCCTGCAAACCGTCAAGCAGCTCTGGAAGCGCACCTTCTGCTGTTGCAAAATGGGCTCCAGTGCCGGGTCCAGGGAAAGCCCAATATTCTCCAGCCTGAGAGCTGGTGTTGAAGCGCAAGAGTGGAAAGGTTGAGGTCAAGATTGTTTCTGTTTGTTTCAAGGGCCACATTTCCGCTCCAGCTTGCGGAGCACCAGCTGCTGCTGCCTCCTTGAGGATGTTACGAAGAAGGTTCTTAGATGTTGGCTTGTTTGGCTGCCGGATGTTGCCGTAATCAAAAACCTGAGAAAGGGTTGGGAGGTTGATTGTGAACTGGACAGGAGACGACAACCGGGGAGCTCGGCTTCCGACACTTGGGAACAGTACCATGTTCAGCGTTACAAGAGAGGTGACCGATTTCGGTGATCGGTCCGAGAGACAACGGCTTTCCAGTTGAACCCACATCACCCACTGTGCAACAACTTCCGAAGCTCTGGGCACGGGGCAGAATCCACTTTCCGAACTGGATGCCCAACTCCAGGGTGCGAAGAAAGTTGGACTCCGACATCTTGCAGACCTGATCTTCTGCTTCCGTTACTGTTTCTTGGAGCATGCATCACCTTCCGAGAAGTTGTCCTGCACTTGGTGGTCTTGGTACTGCGGCCGGGTGGTGGTACTGCTGCTAATGCTACTATGACGGTGATGAAGATGACGGTTGACAGTGGCTATCGTGGTCACTGTCATCGTTCCTTCCGTGCTTATTCTTCGTACCTAAATTCATACCGACTTGCCATTGTGAGCTCCAGCTACTAGGTTCTGGCGCTACATTCTGCATGCCGGACTCTCTTCCATGTGCGCCTCACGGCTTCGTGTGTGAGTAAGGTCCTCACATCGAACCCTGTCTCGATGTCCTTGCCCATATTCTTGATGTACTTGTTGGCCTGCTCAGAGCAACCAGACGAGGCCCGACACAACACCACTGAGCCCTAAACTTGGCAATCTTGGCCCTTAAACCTATATAACCCCTAAACTCCTGTACCCTAGGCCCTGAGCTCCAGATCTCAAGTTGAAGACTCCAGGGTCTGAGGTCCAAAGTTTAGAGCTCTGGAGGTTTAGGGGTTCAGGCCTGTCTCTGTGGATCGATCATCAATGGCCACCGGCGCGAACGGTCGATGATGATTGCGTTCCTTGAGGCAGGCACTTCTCTTGCAGTGGCTATATGATGCCATCTGGCTCGTGCTGCTGCCAAGCAGAGGGGACCGGCAATATCAATGTTGATGTTTTGCTTGTTCCATCGGCAACCATTGCTCGAAATTAAACATGTTAGCAGTGTTCTGGGCTTTGGCTATGAGTACAACGTTCCTTTCGTCAGTTAACCTAGTCAATCAGGTCAATCTTTGTCATACCAAATCGGAAACACAACCATCTCAACAGGAAGCTCTTGCATGTTCTGGAATGATGAAATTATTATCCTGCTCTTTCACTCCAGGCCCACACAATCTTCATAATGTTGCGGTGTGTTTTGTGCCACCCTATCAAACAATCGGTCATCCTGAATAAGTTTGGCGATTACAGCGCAGGGCTGCAGAGAGAGAACGGCTCACGAGATGTGGTGAGTTGTACGTCCTGCGGTTGGTTTAGGGTGGCGTGTCCTGGGTTGTAGGGAGAAATCGGCTCTTCAAAGGACTCTGGGTGTCTGTACATTGCAGCACAGTTTGAGTACAGTAGTACAGAAAGTAGTAGCCGTTGTCGCAGAACGGTAGTATGGTACAGTTGTACAGTACAGTAGTGGTACAGGTAGTACAGTTGTAGTACGGTAGCAATGCAGTAGTAGTACACGCATTCGTAGAAATACAGTAGTCTCCTTTGAGAGAGCTCCCCGAAGCTGTCTCGAAGCTCTGATTTTGTAAGCTTTGTCTTCATCCTACACTCCATCCCTCTGACTGTCACCCCATACTACATTAAAATTGGCCGTTGTTGTATCAGAAAGGAACGCTGACAAACACTCCGGCAGAATCCTGAGCTTGTTAACAGACATGAACCAGTGTCCTGAATAGCCCAGCGCACGAAAGAGGGTCAAAGCATTAGACGCAGGGCACCACGAAAAGTTGCAGTGACCCACTGAAAGGTTCGACACTTCGGCATCCCTTATTCTCTGGGTCGCGAGCTCAATGGACAGCGTGTCGTTAGGAAGCGAGTAGACCACCCACCTCGGAGGTTATGCAAGGTTTCAAGATGATTCAAAGGCATTGAGCCCGGGATGAATCTCCTGGGAAGTATGCACCCTGACTATGACCCGTGTGTTGCACCAACAGTATCGTAGTACAGCCGTAATCATTCTCCACAGTCGGCATATACAGTAAATAAGTATTACTATGACTGACATGAGCTCTCCTGCAATTCAAACACGGTAATCGCAAGTCCCTCAGCTTCGAACTGCTGGATCTTCACAGGCTCTCCCAATACGCTGCGCATGTTGCACTCCTGGGGGACTGCAGTCTCGAAGCCCGAGCCGCCTTGCAAGCCTAAGCCATAAATTCAGTGTTCAATTCCGACGTCTCAGAGAAGGCCTGCAGTCTTCAGTTTCATGCAGTTTGCGGTAAGAACCAGGCACGCAAACAGACAATCGTTTCCTGAAGCTTCAACTCCGACCGTCCTCGTTATGGGTGATGCCGGCCATGTCGAGCTCCTTGAGCCACTGCTGCTCGAAAGCCGTGCGGAATTCCGACCTGAGCCCGGCAGACATCAAACATCTTTTCTTCACCCTGACTTTGATTTATGTGCATCGTGCAACAACAACAACAACAGCAGCAACTACGACCTCGACGACGACCACCACCACCACCACCACCACCACCACCACCACCACCACCACCACGACACCACGAAGGCCACAGCGACGACGACGACTACGACGACGAGACAATGACGACGACTTCCAATCCCGGCCACCTCCCCCTTGGCTGCTGCTGCTGCTGCTAATTATCCCGACTCCTCCCTGACATTGCATATAACTTTCTCGTCTGACAACTAAATTGGTCGCCATGGCGTCAAGATGACGATTATGACGATAATGCTCATAGTCATGATGATGCTGTTGTTGGTGATGATCATAGGTCATGAAAGGAGTGGAATTGGATGATCTGAATTTTCTGGAATGCCTGTGCTAGGCCCGGACGTGAATGGACCGGCATAGGAGACCATTCCGGCGGCAATGATGCAGTCGCCCGGCCTAGGCAGGTCTTGTTGCACGTGATTCGCCAGGTGTACATACGGGTGCTTCTGTCTCCACCATTCTTACCTTGGAAAATCTGTAGCGATGCGGTTTAAGAGCTTAGGAAAGCCTTGGTCCAGTAGAAACCTACCACATGAAGGTACACCATTGTCATCGTGGGCGAGGGCGTAGCTGCCACGAATAGATGTCCATTCGAACAATCTTCAGTTACAAGTATCTTCAGTCAAAAGGAACTGAGCAGGCAGGACTGCAAGACACAAACGCACCACCCCCCAGAGTGCGCATTACAGCGGAAGAGCCGTGTGAGATCCAAACGGGCTTCCGTGAATCAGGTAAGACAGGCCAGCTTTGCAGGAGCTCCATCTGCTCCGTGAGTTTCACAACATTGTCGCCCCATCGAGCCTAATGTCGGCTTATCAGTTTCGTCACTCCACCTTACTATCATGAAGATAAAAGACGATAAAGACCATTGTTTGTTTACTGTCCTTTGTCTCCAAGCCCCAGGGTCTTTCCGGGACTCAGCGCGTGGGGCCTAATCGCCTTTTCCACACCTCGGAGGCGCGCAGAAGTCAAAATGGCTCCATATGGGTGGTGTTGAAAGGTGGCGGTTGGAAACTCATCGGAATTATGGCAACACCTTTCTGCTGCAGCTCTTTCAGGTAGGTCGTCAATCAAAGAACGACATGAGGTTCGAAGGCCGTGGTCTGGGGGTTCTGGAAGATGCCAATGCATCGGATGGCATGGAGCGGAACTGTGTGCGAGCCCCTCTCGGATCTTACAGCGACATGCACAACCTCAGAGCATGGAGCAATCGCTTGGCCGCACGCCTTCTCGCCTCCCAGTCCACCGATGAGCTTGTGCCTTCAGTTTTGTACCGAGGGAGAGCTATGCGGCTTGTATCGTAGAGTCTTGAGGAACAGGATGAGTCTTTGAAGAATGAGCCGCAGGCGCTCGCTCCAACTTGATCTCGCAGAGAGCCATGTCCTGCTGCAAGCCTTCCTGCTGGTCCTGCAAGGCGCAGCTTTCTCAACCATTGGATCAAAGCAGAACATGGCCGGCTCGTAGGAGGGATCTTTGGGTTTGCGTGTAGTCTTATGCTTGTGGGTCCGTGTTCTCTTCCATGCTCCGGCAACGGCCAACAAAAAACCAAGAACGAAGTGAGACTAGCATAACTGCTGCTGCTACTGCTGCTGCTGCTGCTATTCCTACTACCCCTACTACTTATTACCACTACCACTACCACTACCACTACCACTACCAGTACCACCACAACTGCCACTGCCACTGCCACTGCCACTGCCACTGCCACTGCCACTGCCACTGCCACTGCCACTACGACTACGACTAGGACTAGGACTAGGACTAGGACTACCACTACTACTTCTACTATTCTGCTGCTGCTGCTACTACTACTACTACTACTACTACTACCACTACTCCTCCTGCTCCTGCTCCTGCTGCTGCTAGTGCTACTGCTAGTGCTACCTCTAGTGCTGCTGCTGGTGCTTCTGCTAGTGCTGCTGCTCTTGCTGTTGCTCTTGCTGCTGCTGCTGCTGCTGCTGCTGCTGCCACCGCCGCTGCTGCTGTCGCTACTAATGCTACGACGACGACGACGACGACGACTAAAAC